CTTGATTGATTGGAGAATGAAACCAAGTATGAAGAATTTGGCGATATCGTTAATTTGAGAATTTATGCCTAGAGGGCACTCGGTTTATTGGGTTGTGGACTGTGGAGGATTACTTCGGTTATGATGGTTGTTCTTGTGTGTTATGGGAAAAAGGGGTTATTATGGACCCAGAAAAGATTTTTGGCCTAGTTCGGTACGATCAGAATCGGCTTGAGGTCTGTGGATGGATTTAAATATGAATATGGGCTCTATATCAGGCCGAATGTGTTCATTTCAGCATAGCTCTCCTTATGGAGGAGTATTCGGACGTTGCATGTCATTTCGTCATCGGCTATTTCATGTAATGCTATATTATGCCGTGTGAGTTACGAAACGGCTTGGTAAATTTCTTATGTGTTGAGGTTCCGCGTAGCGATGGTGTTATGTGAACATGATGGCTCTTTAGTTTCAGAACATTTATCGCACCTCAGTTGTGCTTGAGTTTGTTAGCTTATGGCGCTATATGTCTCCTCAGGGATGGTATTATGCACTTAGCGTGCTTGTGGCCGATATTCGATATTGTGTTGTAATGAGCAATTTAGCTCGATGTGTATCTCCTTATGTGGCTTGTTGCCTGAGCAGCTCGTACTGGGTGAGACAAGGTCATTGGATCTAAGATCAGTGCAATCGGATTGTATGAAGTATATTAAAGAGAAAAGAACATTATTTGGTTCAGAATGAGGTAATGTTCTTGTCAGGAGTGTAGCCTCAATGATTTGTTGACTTGACAGTTGGTTATGAATTTCTACGCGTCTCCTCCGTTGTGGCAGTATTGTAAGAATTGGGACAAGACTTATACATGTCATGCGGTGCATTGTAAGCATCAGATTCGGGAAATGTCGGTTATTATGATCAGAGAATGTTATTATGGTCCTGTGAACACTACTAGAAATACAGCGATTTCCCACGGAAGAATCGGTGGGAAATCCGTGGGAAATTTCAATATTCCCACGAATTTCCCAGGGGAGACGCTCGGTGGGAAATTGGCTGGTGGGAAAATAGTTTCCCATCACATTCGTGGGTAATTCCCAGGGAGTTTCCCACTGAGGGTTTGGTGGGTTCACCTAGTGTAATTTCCCACGAATGTCGTGGGAAAAGTAATAAAAAAATAATTTAATTTTCTTAAGTTTCCCACCGAATCCGTGGGAAGTATTAAAAATAATTTAAATATTTTTTTTATTTTACCCATGGAAGCAGTGGGAAATATGCGTTATTTGGAAATAAACCTATGAATATTCCCACGAAAATCAGTGGGAAATATTGATCAGATCCCGGAAAAAAATGCATAGAATTCCCCCGTAGTCGGTGGGAAATCTGGAAAATATTTTCATGCCCAAATCTGTTTTTAAAACTACACCACCTGCCAAACAGAAAGTACAACCAACAATACAAGACTAAAATAATTAAGCATTCAAATACCAAATTCAACATGCCAATCCAGTTCATTTCATAAACAACAACTAATCCATCCACTTCATAATTAATCCAACTAATCCAAAAGTAGAACAAAAATTCAAAAATCCAACATTCAATATTCAACATCCAAATACCATCCAAGACAAGCTAATAAAAGAAACTACTCCTTAGTTATCATCAGATGCTGGAGAACGGGGCACAGGAAATGCACCAGATTCTAAGAGGGAGTTTATCTGAGACTTGAGACTTTTAACATCACTAGTGACAAGTCTTAATGCATCGTCCTTTCGCCTCATTTCTTCCTCTCTTAGCCTATCTTCTTCCTCCCTTCGCTTTGCCTCTTCTTCCCTTACAGCGCTTTCTTGAAGATACAACTCCGTAATTTCCGCTACCTTCCTATTCAATTGCTCAAACTCATCCAGATCAACCGAGCAATATGACGAAGAATAAGAACCAGACAATCCAGAAGTGCGACGGCCGAGACTAAACTCTGATCCAAGGTCGTAAACTCTCCCCTTATGCACGTCACCAGCTGCCTTAATCCACATGTCCATGATCTCCTCTTGGGTTGGTTGGATTGGCCTACCTTGATCATCAATCGGCTGGCTTTGAATGAACTCCTCCAAGATTCGTTTGAAATTATCCTGTAAAAAAATTACAATTATTATAAAAGTAAAATTTTAAAGAAAATTTATGCAAGTATCTTTATTTCTCAAACTTTAAAGTGAAACACACGGAAAGATAATGTGTAGACAATGCATCGGTACTCTGGATCCATGTGCACCCAAATACAATGAAGCTAATTAATGGGTAAATATTGCAGTTCACTAAACAGTAAGCCACGAGCAGCTCACCTACTAGAGTTGACTTGCTGTTTGACTGCTTCTCTAATCTTTTGATCACTACATCTATTATTTCGAAAAATAGCTAGGAGACATCAAACAAAAAGATACATGAAACTTGAAAATTAAAAGAGGAAAAGAGAACACAAGTGGACAAGAAAATGGAAGATACTGTCAAATAGAAGGAAGAGGTTATAGTATTTTGAAGTTTTTGAGAAGTGTTTTACTACCTACTGTCCATATGACATTTATGAACATGATAAAATATAAGGTGACCTAGTGTTTCGGTATTTTTTGCCTTTGCTGGGATTCAACCTAAGAGTTCTCCTTCTACTCGCTACTTGCCCAGAACCACAACATCTTAAGAGTTGGTCACCCTTTAATCTATCAAAACACATAACAGCAACGAAGCAGCACCAAACCGACACAAGAGCGATGGAAGAACAACAATTAACCAAAAGGGATGGTATTTGAATTTAGATGATATTGTTACATGAGTGATAGGTACAATTCAACAAGAAGTTGATTCTGTAGCATTTGAAGCAGAAACATCTATTCTGTAACCTAATGACCATGGCAACAACAGACATCAAACATTTAAGCGCTTTTATATAAAGCACCAGTTTAACAACTCCTAAATCACGGCATTTCAACTCCCTACACTAAGTTTGGATAATAATTACACACTTGTGGAACTAGTGCACAAAGTACTGAACAGATAACTATCAATTTCAAATTCAAAGAAACTGGAATTAAGGAAACTCACCACATTGTCCTGAGGCTTCTTCTTGTAATAGGCCAATAATCGAGTCTCAAGAACAAAATAGCGCATATGAATATAGGATTTCCCTATCTTCCTCCTCCCATACCTCACCATCCATCCCTCATACACCACTTTCGACATCTAAAAACTCTCCAATTATATATTTACACGTTTTCAGAATCCAAATTGTTGAAACAAAAAAAAACTCCAGAAATTTTTAGAAATTCGGAAGACCAGTGGAATCCTCACTTCCGCCAATTCGATTAACACTATGGATCATCATTATTGCAAATTCCATTAAAAAAATCCACCCAAATAAAAAGGAGAATCTTCCAATCAATCCACAAAGTTCAAATTTCAAATTCACTGACTGAAACCAAATGAACACTTCGAAATTCACTGGATGATTACAAAAATTTATTCCAGATTGATGATCGCAGCTAAACAGTTCGAATCTCCTCAATTTGTGAAGGAAAAAAAAAGTAGCACGTAAATTGAGCTAATGTGCAAGTGCAACCTACGTGGCTTTACTTCAGATAGCAAAAATATACGTGCGTGCACACACTTGTGGAGCTAGTGCATCTACTGGAGTATACAACCAGCACACACACAGAGGAAAGAGATACGACATATAATATCTTTAGGTAGAAAGAAGAAGGAGGAGGGGCCGGGTGGGGGAGAGGCTCACAAGTTGATCCTGTACTTCATCTGAATGCACTCTTGGCACATAACAAACTTTAACTTTTTTGGCTTTTGGACATTAACGAACTTTAACTTTTTTGGCTTTTGGACATTAACGAACTTTAACTTTTACACATTATATATTCATCTAAAGCAAATGAAAATCTTTCATGAAAGATAGCAGGGAAGGCAGCTAGGGTTGCCACCAAAATAGTTGGCAATGGGGCAATCAAACCTTTAGATGTTTGGAAGATAATAGAAGCTGGATTAAATGGATGTTACTTTCCATGAAAACTAGATTTTCCTCCCTCAATGTATTAGAACATAGGTCTTTGAAAAATAAGCTTATCTCTGTGATGGATTTCCATATTCTCTCAGGCAATGAGCTAAATGCAATAGGAAGTAATGATTCCATGAAAATGTGACAATCATGGCTTTTCATATACATCAACTTTGCTTCTTTCATGTCAACACAATTGGATAAGTTTGAAGCATACCCACCGGGCATTCTCAAATTTCGAACCCAATCACAAATCTTTCGTTTGTCATCCATTTTGAATGAATAACTGGCCTTAGGCTTCACCATCCTATTATTTTCTTGCCGTAGGTCTAATTCTCTTTGCCTACAATATTCCTATAAGTCCATCCTAGCCTTCAAATTATCTTTTGTCCTGTTCTTGTCATCCATTACAGTATGAAACAGATTATCAAAGAAGTTCTTTTCAATATGCATGACATCTAAGTTATGTCGAAGAAGATTGTGCTTCCAATAAGGTAACTCCCAAAATATGCTCTGTTTAGTCCAATTATGCTCAACATCATAACCAGGTAATTTAAGCAATGGAGACTCTGTTACCTTAGGAAAATTCTTAACCCTCTCCCAAATTTGCTCCCCCGACAAGGTTGCTGGTGGCTCATCATAATCAGTTTGATTCTTCATAAATGCACTAGTATTTCTCCTGAACTCATGATCCATTGGCAAAAATCGACGGTGCCAGTCAAACCATGTGGTCTTACCTCTATGTTTCAAAGTGAATGCCTTTGTGTCTTCCATACAGCAAGGACAAGCTAACTTTCCGGCAGTCGACCATCCAGATAACATTCCATACACAGGAAAGTCATCAATAGTCCATATCAAAGCAGCACACAATTTAAAATTTTGTTTAGTTGATATGTCGTATGTTTCAACACCTTCATGCCACAATAACTTTAGCTCATCAATCAAAGGCTGCAAATATACATCAATCAAACTTTTTGGATTACTTGGACCCGGAACTATGCCAGTTAGGAACAAATATGGACTTGTCATACACATCTCTGGCGGAATTATACGGTGTAATAAAAATAGGCCAACAAGAATATGGTGCAGCAGAGACAGAAAAAGGAGTGAATCCATCTGCACACAAACCCAACCTAACATTTCTCGGTTCACTAGAGAAGTCAGGATACATCATATCAAAATGCTTCCACGCTTCTCCATCTGAAGGATGACACAAAATACCAGGCGCCCTTCTATTTTCGTGGTGCCATCTCATATGAGGAGCGGAACTCATTGATGCATACAATCTCTTTAACCTAGGTATAATAGGTAAATAATGCATCCTCTTAATTGGAACTTTTTTTGCTTTGGCATTTGTGACTTTCGTAAAACGAGACAATCCACAAAATTTGCACGCTTCTAGAGCCGCATCATCTTCATAATATAACATACAATCTTTTTCGCAACAATCAATTTTAGTTGAGGAAAGTCCTAACTTGGAAACTAACTTCTTAGCCTTATAGTAATCACCGGGTAAGTTAATGTTCGGACTAACTTCACCCATAAGCCCAATTATAGCATTCATGGCCGCTTGAGAAATATTCCAATCCAATTTGATAGTTAGTAATCTAACTGCAACAGACAACTCCGAGTGTATTGAGTCTTTATAGAGTGGACGACTAGCCGCCTCTAATAATTCATTAAAGTGCTTTGCCTCATCATTGGGAGACTCATCAACATTTTGTTGGGATTGAACTCCTGGATGTATCCCAAAAGCATTCGACACCATTTCATGCATTTGAGAATTATCATAATTTTTTTCAAAGAATGTACTACTCTCACAATCAGTAAGATTCTGAAAGTCAGCGTCAGCTAAATTACTGTAGTTCTCTCCATGAACGGTCCATACATAATAATTTTCTCTGAATCCCTTACTGTAAAGATGGACTTTAACTTTCTCCGGTATCAATAACTTTATACATTTGCACTTAGCACAAGGACATCTAATTGTTCCTTCATTACGGAATTCAGAAAGTATTTTTGCATAAGCAATAAATCCTTTAACACCTTCTACAAATTCTTCCTTCAAACCCCCACGATTAGGATGATTTCTAACATACATCCATCTACGATCTCGTTCCATCTATTACACAATACAAGATAAAATAATTAGATAAATAAATAAATAATTTATTTTATTCACTCAGTGAAAAATCATGAAACAATGTTTCATAAACTGAATTCATTGAATATCCACATCTACAATCTGTGTTAATATTTATGAAAGACTGGTTATAATTGTACTGAACCTATTTAAGTTACTGATATCTTTAATTTTGCAAATTGTTATGTACAAGCATCAAATGCCTACCTTCAGTCCTTGCTTGGACCTTACGCAAGAATGCTCTTTGAGTTTGTCAAAGAAATGCCCAAACCAGAAACAAAACTCAGCCTGGACTTTGCTTCTATCCTGGGACCACTATTCTTTTCATGGGTGGTTTCACAACTTTTTCCTGTAAGTAAATATGTTCTTTTCAAGTGGATATATTCTGTTCTAGCGTGATATGTTGTGTTATATTGTGATAGGACTTGTTCAGTTGACTATCTCCATCATGTCAGACAAATCCGTATTAATGCTATCCATTGATGACAACTTTTCCGTTATCCATTTCCTAGACTACTTTCTTAACCTTATGTTTTACTTGAATTCCATAGACAAATTAATATCATTTTTTGCTTATTTCAGTGTAGTATCCTTTTCTTTCCCTTGAGTTATCTTAACTTGAAGTGAATTGTTGGTTAGTCTTAATACTGACCTTAATATGTACTAAACAAAGTTTCACATTCTATGGTTGATCAATTTTTAAAATTTATACCATAGCTGAGATAGAAGACTTGCCTTCTCAAGCATTTGTTAATACAGTAGTTACAGAAGCATAAATATGTCAATTATAAGTTACAAAAGTTAGGAGTATAATCGAAAGATCAAAGGTGTTGCACATTCACAAAGAGACCATGGTTACATATAATACTCAAGCAACAATCAATTAACTTTATTGTCCGATGCATTTGATATTAAATGCTTAAAAACCTTACCAACCATTCTTAACATTAAAGTTACCTTCTTTTATGAAGTTCAATATAGCTTCGCAAGAGAAATTGAGCGTGGGCTGCAGAAGTGGACCGATGACTAGACCTGGATGAAGTGTAACTAAGTCAATCACATTCTGTTTTGCAAATTTCCAGGCAGCTTCTTCATCTTTGTGATATATGATTAAGCACCTTTAACTTTTTATTTAGCAAAATATGTGTTTTTGATCCTTATATATGGGAAAGATGTTACATTTAAACTATTTTTAGAACCTAATTATCCTCAAAATAAACCAAAGATCGTAGCGATGAACTTTGAACAGCAGGAACATGAAAGAATCCAAATATCGAGAGGGATGAAAAGAAATAAACTTTGCCTAGACTTACAGCCGGCAAAGCGAGAATTGAAGAGCAGCAACTGTAATGAATCGTCCAAAGTATTCCTCAAAAAAACCTCCTTATAGCCTTAAAAGCAGTAGTATTTATAGTCAGAGAACTATCAAACCTCTAAGTTGGAAAAGGTAAGACAATCGAGAATTGAGTTTGCAAATCAATTAGCCAAAATCAAAGGTGAATAATTAGTGCAACAAAATCTGTAAGGAAAATACTTATTAAAATCAGCCATTACGAGAGTAATGCAACAATCACGTTAAGAAGGAAAAAAAATCAAATCAAATCAAATATGATAGCAAGTGCCCAATTAGCGAGAAATTCAAAATCTTTACCTATTCCATGAACCCCTTGGACCTGGACAGATTATGAGACCCCCATGACAAATCAGATTCGCTTCACATTAATTTTTTTATACCTAGGATTTGAAATAGTATAAAATACCTAAATTTCTAAGTTTCAAAGTACTTTGGGGGAAATCAAAAACGAAAAAGGAGAGAGTGAGTGAGTGAGAGAGAGAGAGAGGGGGAAGGAGAGAGGAGTCGAATTACCTGGTAATGGAGTGAAGTGAGAGACGAATGACGGAGGAGGCGTTGTGGAGTGGAAGATACAGAGGCGTCTGTAGAATAGATCATGAGGGAAAACTTAATGTATGAGAATAATAATAAAACTTTCCCACTATTACACTGGAAATCTTTGTGGGAAATCTTTTTCATAATTATAAGAAATTTTTTTAAAATATCCGTTCACATTGAGTCTATGGAAATATGTAAAAAAAAATATTTATTGTTTAAGTTCCCACTGTCTTCGCTGGGAAATTTTTTCAATTTTATATAATTATTTTTTTAATGACTTTTTCCAAAGAATTGGAGGGAACTAAATCCCGCGCATTTTTTTGCCAAAATTTTCCCACGGATAGTCAATGGCAAATGTTATTATTTTTCTCGGAAAAGGAATTTTAATTTTTCCACTGTATTTCGGTCGGAATTGCCACTGAAAATTTTTTCGTGGGAAATTTCCGTGGGAAAATGATGTGTTTCTAGTAGTGGAATGACGTGGTGCATAGTGTGAATTCAGCAAAGGTATGCAGTCATGTTCTGGTACCTCGTGTAGTGATTGATACGGTGTTCATATATCGGAAGCAGGCCTGACGGAGAATTTCGGATGTTGGAATTGGGTTCTAAGCTTATTTGTTTGAATAAAAGGTAATATCTTTAGATTTGATCGAATTATTGTGCTCAACTGAGCTGTGGTAGCACGGGTAGGTTCTCAAGGTGTTAAACAGTGATTTCGGACAATTCCGGTGCGGTTCTCAGCACGTTCGAGGACGAACGTATGTTTAAGTGGGAGAGAATGTAACGACCCGACCGGTCGTTTTGAGCTCTAGCGCGTCATTCAGCGGTTTGAAGCCCTGAGTAGCTTCACTTCAGGTATTATGACTTGTACGCGTGGTCGGAATTGAATTCCGGGAAGTTCGGAGTTGATTTGAAAGAGAGAATTCTCATTTCGGAAGCTTTAAGTTGAAAGAATTGACTAAGATTGGATTTTTGAGTAAATGACCTCGGAATCGGGATTCGAAGGTTCCGACAGGTTTGTATGATGATTTCGGACTTGGACGTATGTCCGGACTGGGTTTTGGAAGACCCGAGAATATTTTGGCGCCTATTGTGGAAGTTAGCATTTTTGGAAGGATTTCATAAGTTTGGGTTAAAGTGCATTTCAGTATTATCGAAGTTCGTTTGGAATTCCGAGTCTGAGAAAGATCCGTGTGGTGATTCTGGTATTGGGAGCACGATCGGAAGTGAATTCGGGGGTCCTTGAGTCATTTTGGAGTCATTTGGCTAAAGATAGAAATTTGAAGGTTTTTGGAAAGTTTGACCGAGAGTTGACTTTATGATATCAGGGTCGAATTCCGATTCCAAAAGTTGGAGTAGGTCCGTAATGTCGAATATGACTTGTGTGCAAAATTTAAGGTCAATCGGACGTGATTTGATAGGTTTAAACATTGAAAGTAGAAGTTTGAAATCTTAAAGTTCATTAAGCTTGAATTGGAGTGCGATTCATGATTTTAGCGTTGTTTGATGTGATTTGAGGCTTCGAGCAAGTCCGTGTTATGTTTTAGACTTGTGCGGGTGTTTGGTTTGGAGCCCCGGGAGCTCGGGTGAGATTCGGGATATCTTCGGAGTGATTTGCTAAGAAATGGGATTGCTGGTACTGGTATGGCCGCATTTGCGATGTTTTGGTCGCAAATGCGATCATTTGCGAGGAGGGCTTCGCAATTGCGAAGGAGCCCGACCCCTGGCAGTGTTCGTATTTGCGACACTGTGGCCGCATTTGCGATCCTGCAGACGACGTATTTGCGACTCTGTGGTCGCATTTGCGATCCCAACAGCTGAGCCCAAGCTTCGCAATTGCGAGGCTTTTGTCGCATTTGCGACCCTCGCATTTGCGAACCTGGCATCGCAAATGCGACATTAGAGGCTGTGTCCAGCTCTTTTAATGCGTGATTTAGGCCATTATTTCATTTCACTTCATCCTCTTAGGCGATTTTTGGAGCTTTTGGAAGAGGGTTCTCACCTAGCACTTTAAGGTAAGTAATTTCTACACAACATGAGTTAAATACATAGATTATGGGTAGATTAACATGTGAAAATTAGGAAAAATCAAGGGTTTAGATGAAAAACCTAGAGTTTGATAAAAACAAGATTTAACCACGAAATTTGTGATGGAATGAAGTAGAAATTATATATTATTGATCCTTAGGTTATGGGTAACAACTTTCTTCAAAAATTTCCGGGTTCCGGGCACGTGGGCCCGGGGATGAATTTTAGGAACCTTGCATTTAGGGTTGAGAAATTGATTTAATAATTAGAATATGAACTTTTGAGCATGTATTGACTAGTTCTTACCCCATTTGAATAGTTTTGGATCGTTCGGCTCCAATTNTTTCTAAAGAGTTAAACTTCATTTTCATGACTTGTAAAAGGAAATTTCACTCCTTGAATAATTGTTTCCTTGATGAATGTCTTGATTGACTGTTTGAATATGTGTTTCTATGTGTACATGCGTCGCATGTATGATTCGCGAGCAGGGTGATTGTTTATTTATATTTGACCGCGACGCATGTATGATTCGCGAGCGGGGTAATAGATGCATCTATGGTTCGCGTCATTCGACCCTATGGCAGTGCACAGTTTAAATATTGTTGGATCGGGCCGTACGACCTTGGCATGATTTGCGCATGCTTGTATTGCTTGCCTTGAAATTTATTGAAGTTGATATTGTTTCTTTCCCGGCTTGAGAGTAAATGTATAAATGATGAAAAGAAGTTTGAAATTTCCTATAAAAGAATGAATTTATTACTTGCTTCATTCTTCTGAATTACAATCATGTTTATAAAAATCCTCGATTTATTATATAATGATGTATCATTATTGGACCACTAGTAAGTGTCGAAGTCGACCTCTCGTCTCTACTTCTTTGAGATTAGACGGGATACTTACTGAGTACACGTTGATTTCGTACTCATGCTACACCTGTTGTGCATTTTTGTTGCACAGGCACATGTATTTCTAGTTAGGGGTGTGCATTCGATTTATCGATTCGATTTTGACCCTTATCGATAATTACTTATCGATTATCGATTTGTACATATGCTTATCG